ATTGAATATGATTACGCATCGCTCCAGTAGAGTTATTGTAAGACAATTTGACATTACACAGTTTACTCAAAACTTTTCCGTTTCCTTCTAATTCAAAATAATCCCACACCTTCTCATCTTTCGCGTGGTCATTTTTGAACTCGCCGCAACTGACAAGAAGAAAACGCATGTGAGGTCTGAGGTAAAAAAGTAGTTTCCGCCCAGATAAACTTTAAAAAATAATGTATTATTTTTCAAACTTTTTATTTTAACTTGTAATTTAAAATGTTTTAAATGCTATGTTAAAATGACGGTAATTTGAATGATAAAATCATGTTGTTGTTTTTTTTGTCGCGTAATCGACTATTGTTTTCAGTGTCGACTAGTAGGAGCTGTACCGTTTAGTCGACTAGAGCTGCACATCCCTACCTGGAACATATATCCAAAGTGCGGCACACAGGGCTTCACCTTGCTACAAAAAACAGATAGTTATGCTGAGTTCACACTGCACGATTTTAGCCTGATTTTTCACTCGCCGACAGGTTTTGTTCTCGCGTTATTTCCTTATCACTTCTCGCGTGTATCTTGTTGTGAAACGTAGTTTGCAGACCAGACAGAGCTGTCGGCGATTCTTCCTATTGTGAAGTCATGCAGTGTGAAACCCCCTGTCGCCGATCCATCGTGCAATGTGAACACAGCAGCAACTGAATGCTACCCCAGATAGTCACGCAGTGTGAAAACAACGGCTATCCGACGAGTTTGAAAATCATGCAGTGTGAACTCGGCATTAGGGAGACGGTAATAAAAATAACATGCTGCCTGCTAGTTGCAACAGTAGTGAACAACTGATATTGCTTTATGACCAAATGCAATACAGATTCTTTTTAAAATGTTTCATAATGTGTATGCAAAAAAAGTTTTAGTTTTGCTTTTTGAAACAGTAATAACTAAGTGATCATTACATCACAACAATAAAAACATATGAATTAAGAATTTTTTATCAGAAAGTTGTTTTATGAAAAAGACAGTCTTTAATCAGATTTTTAGGCCGTCGAATTGTAAACTAATTGCTGTATCACTTAAAAAAACACTGCGCTGTTATTTCAAAAGTTGAGTAATTAATTATACAAACAAAACAAGTAACTTCGCCTGGGAATAACATTGTTGTGTTATGGCATTTATCAATAAACAAAAACAAAAAATAATCAAATGAATAATAATAATAAATAATCAATTTACACTACAAAGAAGAAATATCGGTTGAGTTTATAAAATATTAACGTCTATCTCTAGCAACCATATGACTGGGCAGCAATATGACATTGAAATGGATCTGAAATAATGAAGTGGACTGAGGGAATTCATCCTCACAAAAATGTAAAAAATGAGAAGAACCTTGTGTACTCATGAGAGGGCAAAGAAAACTAGGTCAGAAATGCCTGCTGTGATGACAAGTCAATAAGATCAACAGCAAGCTGTCAAACACTTTCACACTTTGACGCTTAACATAGACGTCAACTGGAATGCTTACAATTTTTTTCCATTGCCACTATATTAAAAAACACCTCCACTAATATCCATCATTATTTGACCTCTACCAGTTCAATCCTGTTATTTAAAAGGTTTGCTTGCTCAGAAATTACAAGTCCATCATCATTTACTCATCCTCACGTTTTTCCAAACTTGTATGACTTTCTGTCTTCCTCAAAACACAAAATGAGATGTTAGGGAAGATGACAGCATCAGTGAGTCACCATTCACTTTCTTTGTGTTGGGAAAAGCATGAACTCAAAGTGATTGGTGACTAAGGTTATCATCCTGCCTAACATCTCTTTTTGTGTTTTTAGGAAGACAGAAACTCATACGGATTTGCAAAAACATGTGGGTGAGTAAAGGATGACAGAATGTTTCATTTGGTGAACTGTTCCTTTAATTCGAAGCTGCTTTGTTTACAACCCAAACAAAAACAGCATCTTCTATTGTCGTGAATCTCGGACAGAACTCTTTACGGGCATGAAAACTTGGAAAAATACAAAACAAGCATGAAAACTCCAAACAAAAGCCCCATCAGTGGACACACTCACCTCTCAGAGACTGACACAAACAAGTCTTAAAGTGACTAATACACAGGGATTAGACCACGTACTTTCTTTCTTCAGGTTCATAACGTTCTTCAGAAACTTTTAGACGCGTCTATGATAATATACCGATCTGTTAAATCGTTTAAAATCAAATTCCCGTTAAGAAAAAAGCTGGAAAACAAAAGACGGACCGTTCCAGGCAGCGTAGTAACGGGAGCTAGTCAGCTAGCAATACCGACACAAACAACTTCATTAGCGCAGAAATACAGTCAGAAACACCCTAAAATATACTCCAACGACTACATGGGGGTGTCGGGTTTTTGCTCACCTGTCTGCGTAAGCGGCGAGCGGTTGTCCTTCAAGCATGTGTTTTTGTCGGAGTGGCGCTGCAGATCCAGTGGACTGACTGACTGACTCGCTCGACCTGGCTGGATTTTCTGGTTATCTGCGTTTCAATGTGACGCCCCTCGCGTGACGGCAGAGTGGCCAATCAGAATGCGCGGATAGGTCACGTGACCGAGTTTCAGGATGACTGGTTTGACGGGATTTGTAGTCCGCGGGTGACGTTTGTTTGTGGATTTCATGTTTGTTTTTTTTCACCATCACTGTATATTTATATATAAAATGTTATTTTATGTTTAAATATGACCTATTTTAATAATAACAACTTAATTTATTCGTTTAGAAAAAATACTAGTCACAACCATTAGGATATTGTCATATAAGGATGTAACCAAATATTGATAAGATTGAGAGGAAGACAAATTTAGACAAAGGTTACAAATCTATCTTTAAACAACCCATGTTGATTGACTGCTATTGTGAGGAAGACTCTTGAGTCCCCCAATGTCTATAATATTAACAACCCTGCTGTCATGGGCCTGTGATGAATTGAAGGCTATGATTTTGTGCAATCGATTACACAGATTCAAATATTTGCCTCACAGAAAGTGGGGATATGCAGTGACATCCCTGCCTATCAACTATTCAGATATGGTATCAGTGCTAACAGTAGTGCAATGTTGGAAAGTAGCCTGCTTGATTTACTAATGATGTAATCGATGACAAAGGTTATAGAGAAAATGTACTATGATCTTTATTGAGAAATTATACCTAGGCTTTGACCATTATCACTAAGCAAGACTTAAGTCTGTATGTAGGTGAGAATATAGGTTACTACAGTACACCACATACAATTTTTTATGACGACAATCAAAGTGTGATTTAATGATGTCTAATAAACAGTTTTAGGATTTAAAAATATAAAATATGGACACTGAAATATGTGTAAGAATTCAAGAAAATTTCTGCATCATTTCTAGGTCACACTTTTCAGTAACTCTAAAATTCAGATTTATTCAGTAACAGTTAGACTGTTCACTCGAACTGTTACTGATAATATAATTTGTAATATGAAATATGTACAGTGGGTACGGAAAGTATTCAGACCCCCTTAAATTTTTCACTCTTTGTTATATTGCAGCCATTTGCTAAAATCATTTAAGTAATTTTTTTTTCCTCATTAATGTACACACAGCACCCCATATTGACAGAAAAACACAGAATCGTTGACATTTTTGCAGATTTATTAAAAAAGAAAAACTGAAATATCACATGGTCCTATTAAGGGGGTCTGAATACTTTCCGTACCCACTGTATTAAAGCAAAAAAAAAAAGCTAAATGTAAGCGCTAGTTTCAATAGTGGTCTCGGGCTGTATGTGGTTATATGTTTCCTGTGGTGTTTTGGCCTATATGAGCTTTCTAGAGAATTTCCAGTCTAAACCAGCTCAGGTCATGGTTTATCATTTGACCATACAAACCCAATGAGAAACTAAATAAGTGGAACATAAGCCTCTGTGTTCCGGCCCAACATTAAATGAAGCTGATAACCATCCAAATGATAAAAGGGCTCACCTATTTGCAAAACAGATGTTAGAGGAGGGCATACAGACAGATCTGCACCTATCAATACTTTCTGTGCCTGGTATTGAGCCAGAGTCACTGGAAACTCTCCCAACCTGCATGCGGTTCACAAAGTACATGCAGTTCATGCCAGTGTCTACTAATTGCATAACAAAACCAGTGAGCTGATCTACTAATAATGTGGTGGGAACTGCAGACAAACGGCAGTATCGAAACTAGTCCGGACCAGTGAAAAAGAAGGTGTGAACCAAGGAACTGGAATTTGAATTGAGATGTTGGTGTTTGGTTAGGTTTAAAGAAAAGCAAGTGCCGCCCCACCCTGCGACTTCAATCACAACTTGAGCAACACAGACCTTTCAGATTAGATGCCATATTGAAAACGAGTCACTGATGGATAGACTTAATAGTCTTTAGAAAAGGCATACACTGTATAAGGGTCCCCTAGATCACATAATATTCACAACTCACAACTCTTAAAACTGACGTTTCATCAGCTAAATAATCGGTATGTTGTTAAATGGCAGTACAATCCATTAAACACATGCACTTCTATCTTTCACAGCCTTATTTTTATTCCTGTCAAAAATTAAATATGGCTCTACCCAAACTAACTAATCACATGATCACTGCCTGTATGAAAAAGATTGAGTGTAAGTGTAAAGGTTACATTATATTTAGTTTACAACACACAGATAATGTATGATACCAAAAATGCTTGACCATATCAGCAGAATAGATAATATGAGCAGCATTTTAATGACTTAAGCACATATAACTTTATGCAATCTATAACCCTGGTCATAAATGTGATGAAGTCATTCCACAAATCAAACAGAACAAACACAGAGAGTTAAACAGAAGTAAAGAAGCAGAGCAGGTGATAATAATCACTAATCATATTTTTAATATTACTGGTTTGAATGAGGGGAAATACACACAACAAGCATATGATCACAGGGCAGCAAACAAACTGTGGAGTGACATGTCAAAGAGATCGTAAGTGTTAATGGCATATATGACTGACTGACTGTTATTTACAAGTGTAGTTTTCCTCCAAAACACTCATGAATGAACAAAAGATCTTATTGTCTTGTTCTGTGGCCTGACAGTGGGAGAGCTCGGCTATGATCGCCCGATCCATCCAGTGGCCAGTAATATCTTCTCTGCTAGCATATAAATCCCCAGAAAAAAGCTTCTTTATCAAAAAATAATAATCAGAACAATACATATGATGTATAAAATGAGAAGCAATTAATAAAATATAATCTGAACCACTAGTATTTGGTTACAATAATAGTTTTTGCAGTCCTTATCATGTAGCCTTGATTTTTATTTTTTTTTCCTATTTTCATTTACCAGACACACATTCATTACCGTGAGGCTTTGAACCGTTTCATCCAACAATGACAAAGACAGTGACAGAACAAACACAATATTCTCTGCTCCAGATTAGATGTAATTCCAAGATATGATGTACGGAAGCCCCTGAAATGCATCAAAGGTTCATAACAGACTTTTGAAAGCCTATATGAAGGATACAAATTGAATGATTTTGGAAGAATAAAGGGAGTTTTGTGTGTGCGTGTCGCTCCAATTCAGGTAAAAACGTTCCTGGTTTCATCTTTCACACGTCTCTCCAGGTTTCTTAGCAGAAATGCTTGTGTGACGGGTAACAGGCAGCATTCTGTTCTTGTCATAGGATCTTTATGACATCATGGAACACAATGTCCGATAATTCCACATTTCTCTGACTCAAGGTTCTTAAGAGCTCTGATATCGGCAAGGTGGTGTGTGTTTGTGGAGGTGAATCAGCGGCGGGCCAAAGATCTGGAAAAGGTGATGGGCCACGAGCCGTTGTTCTCCGTCCTCTTTCTGCATCTCTACCATTTCTAGAGTCTCTAAAGAGTTTAGGCTCTTCTTTTTAGAACAAGCAAACAGTTCGTGCCTCTCTGAATTCAAACATCGAGAGAACAACAGCTTGAGCTAAGAAACATCACACCGGTGCCTCCTTTTCATCAATGACGTCCAACTTTTGATTCTTGAGTCAGAAAAGGTCATTAAATTACTATCAACGGCACACGTACACTTATTTATATACTTTAATTTGTTGCTATTTAATATATCATTTTACATTTAATTATCTCTAAGTTCCCCCTCTGGGTCCGTTAAGGGTCCCGTTCCTCTCCTGCTAATTGCTCAGTGCCTCTCCAGGGCGTCTGTCCCGTCCCGTCCCTAGGCTGCTACTTGCACACGAACTGGTCTACGAGCGACGTGCAGCGCTTGCACTTGACGTAGCAGCACCAGTGGAACTTGCAGTGGCAGCGCTCGTGTTTGTAGGTCTTGAACTGGTCGTAACCGCGACCGCAGCACATGAGCTCGCAGCCGTCCATGCCCTCCGAGGTCTTGTTGCACAGGCGGTCCTGGGTGCCCAGAGAGCCGGTGGTCTCGTTACGCAGGCAGTAGTCCGGGCTGGGGTCGATGTAGACCAGGTCCACACTCGTCGGGGGGTTAAAGCGGTTGTTGACCAGCTCCAGCTTGCCTCGTCGGCTGATGCGCATGGCGGCGGCGCTGTCGTACTTCTCTTTCAGGAACTCACCCACATGGCGGAAGTCGGCCAGCTGGAGCCAACAGGTTTTTAGGCTGCACGAGCCGGAGACTCCGTGACACTTGCATGCGACGTTGGCCAGATTGTACACTGCCTGTGAGTGGAGAAAGAATTAGAAGTGTTGTGAGAATATTTCAAGACAATGTTACTTATAATTATAGAAGTATAAAAAATGAGTTTTTCCAGCTTGAATACCAAAAATTTCCATGCTTACTTTCCACTGGTGACATCTAATATTGTTTTAGTTATACAAATAAGCACTAAAGAAATATTGCCTGAATCATGCCATTTATCATGTCAGCTTTTCATCTGGTAAAATGATTCAACTGGCTAATATTGTCTAAACTGTAAGAACAATAGTTTGGAAGTATCAGCAGAAAAGGGCTGAAAATGATCAACTAATCAATAATATTTTGCCACGTATGGCATCATTTTTCACCAAAAAGTGTTAAAGTGTATGAATTTATGTCTGTCTTGCAGTTTCCTGTATAATTATTAAAAAAAAAGTTGTAATTTCCAGCTATTATTGCAACTTTTCTTTGCAAAGAAAACTTGTATATGAAAATATGGTAAAGATGTGTGAAATATGAAAGATTATAATAAATACTATTTTTGTAAACATTTTAAAATAAATATTAAATAATAAAAGTACAAATGTAAACACATATTTAAAATTAGAAATTTAAATGAATATTAAGTAAAAAAAATATATATATTTTGAACATTTTTTTGACATTTTTATTTTCATTTGATTTATTTTAATAAAATAAACAATAAATGTAACATTACTATTTAAAAATCTAAATATGAAATTAATAAAATTATATACAATAATGAATATAATAGTAATAAAAATAAATATAAATATATAATAATTAAAAATTATGTATATGTTTGTGTTGGGGACAATGAAACTGACAAGTGCTTCTAACGTGATTTATGGAGTTGCGTTATTACTTTTTTATATGTGGCCCTGGACTACAAAACCAGTCATAAGTAGCACAGATATATTTGCAGCAATAGCCAACAATACACTGTATGGGTCAAAATTATCGATTTTTCTTTAATGCCAAAAATCAGTAGGGCATTAAGTAAAGATCATGTTCCATGAAGATATTTTGTAAATTTCCTACCATAAATATATCAAAACTTCATTTTTGCTTACTAATATGCATTGCTAATGACTTAATTTGGACAACTTTAAAGACGATTTTCTCAATTTTTTTATTTTTTTGCACCCTCAGATTCCAGATTTTCACATAGTTGTATCTCGGCCAGATATTGTCCTATCCTAACAAACAATACATCAATGGAAAGCTTATTTATTTAGCTTTCATGTGATGTATAAATCTCAATTTACCAAAATTGACCCTTATGACTGGTTTTGTGGCCCAGGGTCACAGATAGGAAGCAACCATCTAGAATATCCTAGCAACCATATATCTTTACTGCTATTCTTAGCAACCACAATTTATTGACTTATTTATTTTATTGAATGAATTAATTTTCTTTAGGGAATACAACAATAGTACCATCAACAGCTGCAAAACAAACTTTGATGGAACAACGGCGCCCTCAAGAGGCCAAATGTGTTCAGTGCACCAGTCCGTTTGAACCTGGCGGGGCCTCCAGAGGCTTTTGAGTTTACGGTCCCTTTACAAACAGAGAGCCGCAGTGAGAGCGTTTGGAGAACAATGGGATGAATAGTCATTCAGTTCTAGAACACACAGAGAGTCCCAAGACCACTGACAGCAGACTTCCTGCTGATTAAATTCAATGAAACCCCCAGCTGAATCAATAAAGATGCGCTCGACATATTGTCATACTAAACTAACGGCTGTTCTTCCCTTTCCTTTTGAATTATTTAACATGTAACATTAATAGACTATTACTTTTCATTAACCACCCACAACGGGCCGTACCAAGTGCGTCGCGTCTCACCAACAAACACAAAAACAAGCTACTGAGTACAACGCCTGGGCTCAATCAAAGTTGGGTGGCCAGCTTGGGTATTTCCCTCCCTGGTTTGTGACTTGTCTTGTTTGCTGTGTCTTTTGTGTCTGTTTAGTGTCCTGAACGAGGGAACATTAAAGGCATTTCTCTCTCTGTTTCTCTGTAATTTAAGCGCAGGCAGTGCTCCTCCCTTTAACACCTCACGTGAGAACATTTAACGGTCGTCTTTGAGGATGTGCTGCCACGGCTCTTCAACCCCCCTCCGGTGGCAGCTGTTTAAGCCCCCTCCATTTTACCTGCTCGCACACAGACATTAAGGGGAGTTCCAACACCTTTCAAGTCTCTGTCATCACCAGCCCTACCTGAATACCTGTCTGCAATCCAGAAACAACAAGCACACACACACTTTCCCACACACATCACGCAAGCCATTCTGGGCTATTTACAGTCTTGCGTGTCAAGCGGCAGTTCTGCTACCTCATCCAAATGATCTCACACAAAAGGGTTTTTGAGCATTTCAACATGTGCGCCCAACTGAAACTGTGTTCACATAAAGGCCGCCGTTTCACTCTTTTATTCATCCTCACTTTCATCTATCTCCTTTTCGCGCCCCTCCTTTTCTCTCTTTTTTCTCTTTTTGGCCCAAGTGACCAAGGTGTGATGGATAGACAGGCTCATCGGTGCGTGGAAGGGACACGCATGCAGTGCTGCGCACAATGGAGCACGCTCAGATGGGGTCAGGGTCGGCTGCTGGGCGGGGTTAGGGCGGAGACAGCAAACAACCATCCCTGGAGGTGTAGAGATAAGAGACACGGGACGGGAAAGAGAATCTAAAGTAAACAAATACAAGTCTGAGCTATGCTAAGAAAATGTAGCAGTTTTCAAGGCCCCAACTATGTATCTGTAGTAATGAGACGTATTTTAAAAGATCTATCTATATTTATATATATATATATTAGGGGTGTAACGGTACACGTATTCGTACCGAACCGTTTCTAATTCAGCTACACATTGGGGACTAAATCTGGCAAAACAATACTTTGAGGACATCATCAGAGGTAAAAATGATTCATTATTTAAGCAAATCATTTTTTAAAAACCTAAAAGCATTCAAAAATAGCAAATAAATCTGTTTCATTTTTAGGTACAATGTAAAAAAAAAAATAAAGAAATGAAGATTAATTTTTCTCCATTTTTATATTACATTCTTCATTTTATTTTTTTTATTCTGTTTTCCAATTTAGAAAATATATGAAATACAAAAATATATATATCCCAAATGAGGAAATTATACATACGCAATTTGTGAAAAAACCAGAGGGGGGATGTTTTGAAAAATGTTGTTTTTTCTTTTTTTCCCCCTTGAAAATGTATTACAAATCACTGTGAAGCTATAAATATATAGGTTATTTTTGGCAGCTGTTACAGAAACATTTTACAATAAATATTCTGATTTGACCTTGAGATCAGACAGATTCAATATCTGACCACTATTAATGATAATACTTGGTTACAGTGACACTAACAGTTCTTATTTTTGCCCGGAATTCTAAATCAATCGGGAGTTGATGATATTTTGAACAGAATAACGTGACACAAACCTGTACATATTCAATCGCGTTTGCTTCCATTTATTTTTGATCAGTGCTTCGCTACACAACATACAAACTTTTACTCCAAAAGTGCACATATTATGTATTCACATGTTTACCTCATATTTATTTAAATAGAATAGAATCATAATTTCTTAATGACTCTCAGAAAGACGATTCTCTGTCGATCCATCAGTCAATATTGTGTGATCATAATTCCCACATTACGGTGATGGTAAACTTCTTACATTTTATTAAACATTTTATTTTATTTTAGCCAAGGAAACTAAAAAGCTAGGAAACAATTTTCAATCAGTAAATTTTCAATTGCTAGTAAATTTCACAAATAATTACAGCAAGTAACAAAGAATTCAACAAGATCTTTTAAATAGAAAGACTGAAATACTATTTTCTATTATTATTTTCTTGTAAAACATACTCTATTTGTTATATATTATTCATACTATGTAGCTGGTGTTTGATGTTACTAGTTTTATAAGATCATAAGAAGCATGACTCAATCACTTTTGACTAGCTGCATAACTAAAAAAAAAAAAGAGAAGTATATGGTTCGTCCTCATTTAGATAGCAAAGTAAACATGCGTGTCTGTGAATACAAAAGCATGCAAACATTAGTAATGCAGATAAATTCACTGAATGAGTGAGACCGAAAGCCTTACCAGTATATTAAAATGTGTTACGCCTACATGTGTGTGTGAGTGTGTAATAAAGTGCTTTAGATTAGGGTGTGTGTGTGTTAGTCTCCGCTGCAGTTGATTTTGAATGAAAGACACACAGAAGCAGGTGATCTTTATAAAGGGTGTAGGCCTCCTCCTCTCTGTACAGTCTGGGTCACGAGCCTTTGTGACCCACAGGGCCGGAACCACACGCACCATCTTTCACTACACCCTTACATCCCCCCGCCCGTCCCGACTCCACACCGAGGGGCATCCGATACGCTTCTGTCGCCTCCACAAAAGCCCACCAAGACTAAGCCTTTCCAAGCAAGACAAATCTCCGGCAAACAGGCCCCGCAGAAAGGGAATGCCAGGGAGGCGGGAGTCTCGGAGGTCACACCACACCCTCAAATCCACCTCCACCAAAAAAGCAGGTGCCAATAACTCAAAAAAGAACAAAAAGGATTCAATTGAGATATAATCTCGCCCTCGTGCACGTACAGAACCCATCCAGACCTTGACCTCCTCAGGAGAAGAGCCAGGGGATCTCAGATGTGCCATAACTCCAGAAAAGAGGCCCTCTCTTCTGTAAACACCTTAAATACACTCATCTTCTCTAAGACAAACATACGTGGCGGAGCTCTGTGCACGGCAAGCACCCACATCGGCAGGCAAATGGACTTTTTATGAGGCAGCTTTGTTTTAAAAGCACTCAAATAACTGAGGGGAAAGAGGATGGGATCGGGGTGTGGTATGACAAAGCGTGGGACTCGCAAAGGGACGGAGGAACGCATTCCAGCTTGATGGCGTGTTTTGGCAGGATGTGGTGACATTCTGCAGTGCGTTCTCCGAGAGGGTTTTATGCCCACCTGAACGTGGCAGGGGGGCCACAGTTTGTTGGAGCCAGACACACACACACTCACATACTTGGAAACGCTCCAATAATTCCTCCACCGTATAGCTGTTCTATAAAACAGCGAGAAGTCGTTCAACAAGAAAATGTGCAGTGTCAGAGCGTTCCTGACTAAACATATTTACCACACATCACCTTATAAAAAAACCCCACAAAAAACTATTTGTTCTGGCATCGACTACTCCATTAAATTAATCAAAGGAAGATTAGATCTGAGCTACATGCTGATTGAGAGAAACATGGGACGCTTCATCCCTGGTGGCGCTTTGACTTCCTGACCCCCAGCAGACTCCAAGGGCGCTAGCCTTTGCATGGGCGCCATTTGGTCATTTCCATTAAATTAGCTCTCTCACTAGCCTGTAATCTAAATGCAGAGATGCCACAGACTACAGTTATTTTTATATAAACCCAAAGTTAAAGTCTTGATGACTGACTAATCATCCAACAACCGACTAATCAGGTAAACAAGCTTTTTTCCAGATGTGTGCATGCTGCTAGACAGCCATTTTAATTTTACAACAGATGTTTTTTTTCCACAGCAACTTTTATCAGTTAATGCATTCCCTGAGAAACAAACCCACAACCTTGATGTTGCAAGAGCCATGCACTAGCTATAGGAATTCTGTGTTTTGAAATTCATCCACTTTAAAGCACACGTCTTTGGCCACTGCATCATTTTTCTCACTGTTTTTAAGTGTCCTTTCACAAGGATTATGTTTTTAGGTATATTCCATTCTGTCTTATTATAAAGAGTACACATCCAGTCAGGTGAGTCCAAACTAGCATAATGGTGTGGTCACATTGCCAAAATGTTGCAGGCCAAAAAGTTATTGTCTGTTATCAATAGTGTTGCGACATATGAAGCACAGCTCAGTCACTTAACCAAGCAGCATTATGTTAGAAATTTAAGAGAACTTGAAAACACCGAGAAATATGCATGAGGAAAACTCCCAATCGTGTGGATTCCTATTAAACCAACTGGTTTTTGTCTGCAAAAACTCACCAAACAACAGCAAATGTGACGGCATCTTAACTAAAAATGGACTTTGAACTGACTAGTTGTTCAGGAAACTCACTGACTAGTCAATTAAAAAAAAAAAAGATGTTATTGCACATCACTAAAAGTTAAATATAACTACTATAGGCCACACACTAACCCCACTCCTTAAAAATTATGAATCATTTTACCTTTGAGAACATCTGATTTTGTCAGACATAACTAACTTCTAAAGACAATTGTGGTCCCAGAGTATAGCTAAGTAAACACATTCACTCAACAACAGAGGGAGAATGAAGTAACTGTGTTTGTTATTGTGTTTGTGGTGATCTGCATGAGACATTAGGGCTGCCTTTGGTTTATTCACAAACATATCTAAAGCTGTGTTTATCCGTTCAAGTGTACATCTGGGCTCTTATTTCTCAATATCATAATAGAGGTTGCAACAGCTGTGAATCATAAAGAAACACACCTTAACCAAACCAGTACACTGTAGACTCTTGCACAAAATGAAATTAGGTGGATCATGGTGGACTTAACGCCCACAGAATGGGTCAAGATACTGTGGAGACGCTTGCTATTATCCAATAATTTCCATCTATTAATAGATCATTAACTGATGTGTGTGTTCATTTCCTCACCATTCTCCCGGCTTCATTGTTCTGTACGTTCATAAGCGTGCGTGCATGTTCGACAGATCCACGTGGGTAGTTTTTCTCGCGCTCGCGGGCGTCCACAAACTCCCTAGCGAAACGGTAGCCGTAGTTGACGTTGTCACCGCAGCCGCCCCATAGCCAGTCTCTCGGGAGGTCTCTGGGACGAGCCGCTCGGCTGCAGCCACAGGTGGAAAGCTCACCCTCACGGCACGCCCGACTCACCGCATTCACGACACCCGCTGCGCTGATGGCGTAAGTAAAAGCTGTTTCTCTGCTGCCTGCAGAAGACACACACACACACACATAATTAGGACACAGACGACATTCCACCGGCTGCAAATCACTTTGTTAAATCATCCACAACTCTTCAGTACACTATTTTTCTTGATTATTCACTTAGGAACTAAGGCAAAGAGTACAACAACTCATTTCCAGAACCCCACAGATGGTAACAATCTTTCTTGTAAGCCCTGCAGTGAGAGATAAGATTATCAGAAACGTGTGCATGTACATAGACAGCACTGATTCATTGTTCCATTGTTATATATATATATATATCTCAATGGATATATATTGAAACGCAAGCGAAAAGGGACAGGTTTTCCAGTGTTGGTACACTTGATATGAGGCATACGATAACCCGCAAAGCTTTCCTGCCAAAGAGGTGCTAGGTTTATAAAATTTGTGCTCTTTTTCGCATCTGTTGTGCATGTGTTACCTGATTTTTTCCCCCATCTAATAAGCCATCTGGAATGCAGATTTCACATACCTCAACAGCACAGGCAATACAGTTAATAGCGTTTAACGTTTAAAAGCTGTTTAAACATGTTAAAAAGTGCTGGTACAACCATATTTAGAGATAAGCACTTTATATCAATGCTCAGCGACACAGTAATTATGAGAGGAAATTTGTCAAACAAAATGCTTTTTAAACTCCAGGCCTTGAGAATTCCTTTTTAATGATCCGGCCTTCCTCAATGCCTTAATGAAAGTGAACTTGCCCCTGACCAGACGGACCACAAGAAACTGTTTTGTGTATTAAAAAAGAACAAAAATGTATGACAGGAGCAGAAGGCTTATAATGTTAATGTTTCACCCCAAGCTTGTCAATTTGACATTAATTTACTTGATTTTATGGTTTTTCAGCTCTACTTTCAGTATGTAAAAATATAGATCAAACTACTTAGCCTACTGTAGAGCAAATTTTGGATAGATAGATAGATAGATTTTAAACTAATAAAGAGGAAAGTATTGGACTTTTAGATTATTTTTAGGGCTACATTTTAGAGCAACGTTTAGATAGATAGATCGATAGATAGAACACACTATACAGAAAGTGTTTTAAAATTGTATCAAAATTCGTTGCCGGTTTCACAGTATCAAACACACAAAGCGGCGCGTGTAAACGGGTGTGTACCTGCATTCCAGAGATGCGCCTATTGAATTCGGAGGGCCACTTTTATTGGCCTTTGGTGCCCAGACTTCAAATAGAGTCCCGGATATCCCGACTCTGTGTCATTGCATTTCAAAAGCGACGCTGGACAATGGCCCGACTAACACCTCAATATAAACCTCGCGATTGACTGCAAATAAGTCCCGTGCTATTTGGGGGGCATGTCGCGTCTTACACCTTGTTTCACTGATGAGCGGAACTAACACTCAATTGCGCCAACGAGCGCTGTCTTCTGTGAGAGATCAACACGCAAACGAGCATGCATTCGATTCAAGTAGCCTACACGCTGCAGTGTTTACAGGCTACATGAAGGATTGACACAATCTGGAGAAACTTTATTCATTTAAATATGCTGTATTAAAGATCTGCACGAATGCAAACATGCATGCATAAACTAATATAGACCATCCATTATTTTTAAATAACAAACAATGTTTTATGAAAATCACCAAACTGATGTCAAAAGCGCAGCGCGTAAAGTCTCACGGGGAGCAGTTCAATGCATGCTGAGCGCGCACCATTTACACTTTACATGTAGGCTACATATAACTAAACAAAACTATACCTTTACCAAAAACGTTTATTAAAGCATGCGCTTATATGCGTTATTTGTTTTTTAATGCGTTTTTAAAATTGCCCAGTTGCTCAATAAAAAGTTGGCGAACAAAGTACCATAATTTCATGTTTTTAGATATAGTCTCTCAATTTAAAATAGTCTCTATAAAACTTGACCACTTTTGTTTACATGCATTGTGATCATGATTCACATGACAGACACTAAAATAGAACAGAAATAGACAAAAAAAAATAATAGACCCTTAAATAATATATCTACAAAATATGGCAGATATACATACATTTTTTACATGTTTCATGTATTCTTTTTATGAAGCTTTAACACAGATATCATCTTTCAGAAGGGCAAACTAGAATTAAACGGCTAGTCATGTGACTATTTAAGAACTTTCATTAATAGTTGACAATTCTGAACAAAATACATGAACTATTTGTAGACCCTTCTAATTCAAAAGTACACTGTGGTCTGAAATGTCAAAGTAGGCATGCATTCAAAAGCTGCATGCAATTAATCAATTTAGATACTTGTTTTGAGTGCATTGTAAGCATCATCACATTGACTCACCTATCTGCATGACACGGCCGAACACGGATGTGTTGTCCACCGTGCTACAGTTCCATCGCCTTTGCCTGAACTGATACTGACACTCCTTGATGCCCGTCTTTGCCCCCTCTCCGATATAAACCATATGGTCCTGATAGAGCTGGCAGAGCTTCCTCTGACCCTGAGACAGGCCCGTCAGCTGGCTGCACAGAGGCTGTGCTCCAATGATGTACATCTCCGGTCTCTGGATGGGGTTCATGGCTAATGACCTGAGAAAGTAAGACCAAAACACAGACCATCAGCCAAATACAGTGTGGACAACTAACCTGCAGCATGCATGACACAAAATCATTATTTATAGTGTAAAACTTAATTAGGCTATACTCATGTGCTGTCTTTTTTTTTTTTTTTGGGGAATGC